GATGAAGGATCTTCAGATCCAAATGTGCTTCGTGATTGGTCTTTGTGCGATTCATCGCAAAATCTATGAAAAATCTGGATTGATCAATGTGTGTCCCCTTCCAACACTTTCCCCTAAATTCTTATTCTTGATTCTTGGAGGATCTAATTGTTGCCTTTAGTAAATTTAAATAAGTCATAATACACAATTTTTTTAGCTTAGAAGGTTAAAAAAATTGTAAATATAAGAGATAAACTCAAAATCAATATTCACATATGACAGATTTATCAGATTATGATAATCAGTCCTTTTTAATCATACTAATAACTAGTCGACTCAATTTCTTAGATTACAATCGATTATGTCTTTTCTTAGGGTTTCAAAAATTAAAGATAACAATAAATCCTCCATGATCAATACTAAAAATCTTCCATTATTAAGCTGTTTCTTTACTAAAGAATCCATTTTAGAGTTGGATTTTATATAAGTTGTTTGAACTTGTTCAAAGGTCATAGACATTTTTGTTATTGAACTAGAATTGATCTCAATAAACTATTAGAGTTTTTTTCGGATTTTAGGATTACACAGTTGTATAAATGATACTGTTTAAATATTCAGTTAAAGTTTATAACTAATGAAATATCAATCTAGAACTTAAGATCAGCCAGGCTATTTAAAGGCTTAAATTAAGCTAAACATTGCTATTTGAGTAAAAACATTAAATAAACTTGAATGGTCTGCCAATAGTAATTTCAATATTTTATCAGAAGTCTTACTCCTTATAGGAATTAATTCTATAATTCACTTTTGAAGCAAAAATGTCTAAAACTGAAGACCAAACAGCTCATACATTTATAAGAACACAAAACCCAACTACTGAAATGTACCTCATCAATGAAGAAACTCTCCAAAGTAAATCAGTACTGCTCACTACTGAAAGACCCTAACTAGTTCCCTGTGTCCCAAGAGATAATCAGCAGCATTATCTCTTGCAAGAAGCAATCGCTGTGCTAACAACTCTTCACAGCTGACATCATCTTTGCAATATTAGCCAGCAATCTTGCGGATTTCCCTCAGGGCAGCCACCCTAACTTCAACATATCATCTTGCGGATAACACTTGCGGAATCGACTTCGAATCGCTTGTCGCAGCAGGGTAAAACGTCGAAAGGGGTCGCACGAAAGGGTGTCTGATAAAAAAATCGAGAAGATATCCGCAGGTGGTCGGTCGTAGTAGCGGTGGTACATAGGTGTATCTCTTTCTCTCTCTCCCGTTCTTTCATCCGTTCTCTCCCCCTCTGTCACTCGGTCTCTCTCTCGGCAGCTGACAGTCTCGCAGTCTCTCATTCTCACGCGCTCCCTCGTTCTCGCAATACATGCCTGTCGTGTTCATGTGTGTGAGTGTGAGTGTGTGTCGGTCGATCGGCTCCGCGACGGGAATATTTATCCTAATAGAGACCGCAGCCACGGAGATTATTGGCGATAATGACATCTGTGACTGCGTCGAACACGAATTGAATGTTGTTTGTATCAGTAGCGCAAGTCATGTGGCAGTAGATCTCCTTAGTGGTTGACTTGTTTCTCGCCTCGAATTGCGCCTGGATGTACGCGGCGGCCTCACCGTACTCTTGCGCCCCTGCGGTGAACAACAGACACGTTTGTAATTATTCATGTGCATGGGAAGAAAATTTTTGGTGAGGTTAGGTTGAGTGGACAATTCCTTTCGTTTTCATTTGTTTCCGTTACGTTTTTCGAGGAACTCTTTACGAAATACATTTTTTAACGTTTTGAATTTGATAATGATACTTTTAGATTTTGTAAAGTAATTTTTAACTTTTAATTCGTATAAATGAAAGAAGATAATAAGGTTTGAATTGAACTGAATTCTCCTTTTCTGAATGTTTATGGTTAAGGGAATTTCTTGCAATATAATTCTTTAATTTTTATGATTAAGAAAACTTATGGTTTATTAAGTTATCTTCTTGTGGACCATTTGTTTCTCTTTGAGTTTTTTAAGAAAACTTCTAGCATAGTGGGCTTTTAATTTAGATCTCCAATGTTTACGAACGAAGATAAAAATGGACTTTGGTTAGGTGTTTTAAGATATTTTAAAAAGTTTAAAAAAGCTCT